ATTGCTGGTGTTCACTGCTCAGCGTTAGCCAATCTCCAATGGTCGCGCTCGCCGGCATATCGACTCCGTCGGCTTCATCCGCACACGTAATGTACGTGTGCAACGCTCTCCCGAGAGATTACAAGAGAGTGGGTGTTACGAATGGTGTTAGGTATGTGACACGTTACTTCGCACCTCGGCAGATTTTCAAGTTCGAGCGTCTCTCTGTCGTCGGCTCTGCCGATGTCGGTCGAGTCGCGGAATTGGGAATCGTTCGCCGTGCCGGGAGACTTTTGGCACGGCGAATGCAAATGAAGTCACGGCCGGAGAAGTTATACCCCGGCGTGATACGAAAGTTCCTGCGAGCCGCGTTGGCATTATCTGATCCCACCATTTTATGCGCGAACCTGCGAAATGGGTGCGCAATTGCGGCACGGAGCACGCAACCTGCAAAATCGCGCACATCCCTGCCTACTTTTTATACGTCGCATCTCTGCCAACTCTGTCAACTGCCTCAGATCGGGAAGATTCTTATTTTACGTCGTGAGGATGCGACAAGGGACACGAGGGAGAGAGGCCGTGTGCCAAGTGAAGCAAATGTCTCGCGCGATGAGTACGTGAGGCGATCAAGATCGCCGGGTTCATTAACCGACCGTTGATTTGCGCCACGCTTTATTCCAAGCTCGATACCGTTTCTCTGCGCTTTTTTCACAATGATGCTTATTGTCGCGGGTAATCTCTCGTGGGTCAATTATCTACTGCGTGAAAGTTGAAGGAACGCCTCGGTGAGGAGCTACTCGATCGTCCACTCGGTAGATTGCGCCGAAGAAAAATATGTTTTTGTGTGTGCAAAACGGTCGATTCTGAGGAACTCGCGTCGAACTTTTGCTCGGTTCTCGTCGATTCAAGATGCACGTGCTACGACGAAATAATGGGACAAGAAGTTTTGCAACAAACGCCGTACTGCTTGGCGCACGAAAGCGAATGGCGTACGGTGATCTTTACACGGTGTTCGTCGATTGCGTCGCATTTATCGAAGGTCGATATGAAGATAAAACGTTCGACATGTACACATGGAGGGAGAATTTTATAGCAAAAATCACTGCAAGATCTTGCAACCACACTGAGAGTAATTATCCGATAAAAAATTAACAAAAACTGATATTTTCGATGAATTTTCATATCCGATTAAATTTAATCGAATATTCCCGATCATAATCTCATTTCATCAAACAAACCGATCAAAAAATTATGAACCGATATTTCTCATCGGATATAGTCGGTTTCTTGATCATATACGAAAATTTATCGGTATTTTGGTCAGAAATATTCATTTGTTAATTTCTTATCGAATATTTTCTCTCAGTATGAGAAATAAAGCAGCAGTAATTCACTATCCTTACATTTCATGTGTGCTACTTATATTTTAGGAATGTGCTATTAAATTTCCTGTATTCTAAAAAAAATACTCTTGCAGTCATAGCGAACATTAGATGCGAAATATTAGCTGAGATAGATAAATTACTGCACTATGGCAAACACTGTAGCAAACGATATCGTATATGTTTTGTATTTTTTAATCAATATAAATGACGGAGACACAGAGTTTTTGTCTAGACTATTTGTGAAATTTAGCAAGAAAGTCTCTGTGGCGTATTCATCCAGATCAAAGTCAGTCACACTTTTTGTAAAAATTAGTTGTAAAGTAAACAAGAAGGACCAGCGACGAGAGACAAACGAATGTATAATTCTCATATTTACGTAAATCTGTATGCTTGCGGATATCGCTAAAACGCTGTTGCTGTAGATTCTACGCACCACAGGTATTTTTCTAGTAGATAAGAAAAGCAACGATAAATTTTCATCGTGACACTTAGAATTCCACGTGGACTAAATATGTTTTTGAATGTATGTTTCTAGCGAAATTTACAATGTTTCTTAGCGAACGTTTACTGACAGTCTATTCTCGCACCACTAGAAACATCGTAATATTGAGAAGAATCGATATGAAAAAGAGCTGTAGTCCGTATATAAATATCATATCACGCATGCGTTACACAGCCCGAAGGGAAAAGAAGACACGCGTCGTCGGGATGCTCGATAGAAATGATGCAAACGGAATGAAGCCGTAAGGGGACTTTCAGCCGAGATCAAGAGATACTTTTTTCATCACGAGGTCAACGAACGCCTTTTTTAAGCGTTTCATTTTATCCCCAATCATTTCAACAAATCGTAAATCTCGCAGCGTGAAGAAGGGAAGAATAAATAAAAACGGCATGAGGGATAACTTACCAAGCACAGAGGGTTATCGCATATCGCGGTACTTCCAGATTCGACGTCGGATTCCCCGTTTGTTCACGCGTGTGTATCGCGCACATGCACCGATTTACAAAGTAAACACTTTTGCAGACCGCGAAAAGTTGCGATAAACGGCGCAATAATCATATCCGGAATCCATCTGCGTCTTTTTCGCGATCTCACCGTTCACGACTCGACTTTCGAACTCGACAGCGTTGCGTCGTTGCCGTCGTGGATTGCTCAATTGTGCATTATAACGATATTTTTGTGGACTTGCAAATCAGTAGGGTCACTCGGCCGAGCATCTAGAGATCGAGACCGGTCACGCATACATTTGTTTATCGTGACTATCGTTGTGAGTTGGTGCGTACGCATTTGCAATAGAATATGTAAGATATCGTCTAGACGTTGATAACAGACAACACTACGTTCCGATTCTTTTCGCCGCGACTTCCTGCGTGCGCGCGCACGCACGTTCACGCCACGCACAACTTAATTATCTCGTCCGGACAAAGCCGACGCGCAATTCGCTACTTGGATGTAGAGTGTGACGTAAGGTTGTCGCCGATGCGCGATGTGTGTCGCGTCGTCCTTGAATTTTCATCGCGTGCCAAGATTACGCTCGCTGACTAGCTTCGCCGATCAATTATACACCTGCTACTCGGTACTCGATTCAACGTATCGCCGTGCGGTTGTTGCAACTCGCGACAGTCGCGAGCTCGTTAACTCAGGATTTAACGTTGTCGTTGTCGAGAGAGAATACTCTTCCTGGTTAGAGGCGCTGCCTCGTAACGACCGCAGCACGACGAGTCGCGCGCGGGTTGGGGCACACAAATTTCCGTGACCGTAAACATAAACTTGAGCTGAAGAATTAATCAGGATATTGCTTTATCGGTAAGGTCACTCGGTCAGTCTATTCGGAACATGTGGTTTATGCACGATGGAGCACCATTAGATTGCAGCTGTCAAATGAGAGATGTGCTCAGTAATAATTATCCAGATAGATGGATTGGCAGAAGAGGAGCAGTCGCATGGCTTTCACGTTTCTCAGACGTGAATCCACTAGATTTTTATCTGTGGACACTGTTTGAAAATCAATAAAACACGAAAAAATACTTTAAAACATGAAGTATAATTTATATTTTTTAAAAACATGAATATTTACATTAAATTGAAAATATATTTGAAATGGTAAATTTATCAGAACTAAATATAAATTAATTAAAATATTTGAAATTATAAGAAATTTTAAGAAACATTAAAAAACAGTAAATAACATTAAGAAACAGTTAGTAACATTAAGAAACAGTAAGTAACAAACAGTAAATATTCAACAGTTAATGCCTGTTTTCAATCAGATGGCGGCCATTTTGCGCATTTATTATAATTTAAATATTTACTGTATGCTTTATTATAACTTTGCAACTCATATTTGATTATGGATTTATATAAACTTTTCTCTTTATTGTGACGACAGGAATACGTCCTAGAAGTTTGTCCAAGTGTCTCATAGGTACTTTATATATTTCGTTCAATCTATCAAACGTTTGCTTGAACGTTCGTTCAAGCAAAGTACCTCATTAACTCAATCACTTTTTTTCTCGATTTGCTTATATGGTCACGTCAATCCTCTTCTAGCTAGAAGAATCCTGAAGCAATATCCCGATTGGTTCTGTAGCTTAAGTTATGTCTACGGTTACGGCAATCCATGTGCAAGAGCCCTTACAGCTGCAAACTTACAGCCATTTACGCCTTACGGTTGCTAGTCGCGTTTCCGTACGTTTTACGAACCGAAGTGCTGGAGTCTCCTCGCTGCAACTCCGCAAGTTTTACATTCGCCAAGTTGCACGCGCTGAGTCGGGGCGGTTCTGACTACCGTAAAACGATCGCACGTCGATTCTCGTCCGTGCGTGTATAGCACACACGCTACGCCTCCAAGGGAAATAAAGGAGAAGAAAAGAGGAAAACTCGTTACTAAAGTTAAAATCGAGGTTACGCACGGAATACGCGTAACTTTCTCCAATCCGCATTCCACATAGAGGGAAATATATTGTTTCGTACTCCGCCCTCTCGCGGGTACCGCGCATGTAATTTACATGGCACGCAATCTTAAGCAAGAAACAGCGGATTCTCAGTACAATGTATGCTTTTTGTTATTTTTTTTCAAGTCTTTTATTAGCTCTCCGGCTTTCCTCTCCTTTCATCACGAGCAAAGCAAAGGAAGAATATAGGTAGAAGCGTTGCATTTAGAAATGAATGCCGTCTATTGAAAAACAATAACGCATTCTCTATTGAATTAATGACAGTCGGAAAATCACGTGAGCCTACCACTCAGTTTTCGCGAAACGAAAGCGAGACACGTAATAAGGGTGTTCAACCGTCCTGCACGGTGTTATCTACACGGAGAAAGAAATCTCAGTTCAGACGGTGACAGAATGGGGATCTGATGAAAACTCGGTGACGAGAAATGATATCTCGCGTTGTCGCGGCAGAAAACATTCATCTGGGATGAAACTTCATTAAGATAACTAAGAATAATTAACTGGCTAGTAATCTCCTACGGGAATCCTTCTGTTCTTACAACCGAGTTTTCGTCTAGTCCTCAGAGACAACAGAAAGCTAATTACACGAACCGAGTTTCCCCGCTGTGTGTAACTTAAAACAATGTAGATATCGATCAGAGATAAGAAACTAAGTAGCCATTCTAATTTTTTGTCCACCAGATGTCGACCTCCAGAGCCAGATCGAAAGTTCGTTGTCGATGCCGGCTACTTATCAGACTCTTGTCTCTCGCGCCTGCCTAGCTCAGCAATGCTGCAGTTTAGCTCGAGAGCAGACGAGGATCTGCGAAAGGCTAGTCCACGATCAACACCTTCAGCAGCAGGGATGGGCTGCGGTGGTTGCAAACCTCGAAGACATCACGCAAATGTTCCAATCGCGAGCTGATCAATTTCAGCATAGCTTCGCCCTCTATCTCGCCGAGAGGCAGCAACACATGGAGCTGCTCGACAAGTAACAACGATCTCTTTTTATCTTGTAGATATGGTTGTGTATAAATATTAGGGGAGAAGATACCGCACGCTTAGCTATGGGTCTGTTTCGCATTGTACTCTGCACACACAAGTTTACAACAGCCGTAAAATAGTAGAGTAAAATGCGTAAAATAGGATAGTGAAAAGAATAATTCCTTATGCAACAAAAAAGTCAAAAATATGGAGTGCTAATTTTTTTTTTACAAAAGACCGTGCTTTCGAAAATATTAATTTGAAATGTTCATAGTATACTCATAAGAAGCGTAACGTAGCGAAATTATTGAGAGATGAAACACGCGATTAATATAAACAATAAAAAAGTATAATAACAATAGCGTGAAGAGACCGGTCATCGAGGATCTTCTCCCCTAAAATCGAGGCGAGTTCATGAAAACGACGTGTTATTCACGAATTTTTATTTGTCACGAGGAATTTACGAGATCCTGATAACTTAATCGATGCAGTTATATTAGATAACAAGACGTTTTAATGCGTGGATCGGCTTTCCTTCCTTTTTTTCTCAAGTTTCGACATCAATTAGTAAGACTAAATATAACAGCTAATGGGTGAAGTATGAAACTTGTTGCGAGTTATTGCTAGAATTTTTCTCATGAATTACAGGCCGATCTAGTTATCATGAAAACATATATTGGTCCCCTTAATCATTGTTTTAATTACAATGGTACATAATTACCATTGAATTCACGCCTTAATTATCATAGCTCGGATTACCATGTTTAATCGTCATCGCTTCAATTACTATTGGTTATACTACTAATGAGCGACTAAATGGTCGGGCCACAGTAATTTCACCCAAAGATATGCGCGCCCAAGTTCGCAATGTTCGCGAAACGCGTAATCTTATATAGATATATATATATTAATTCATGTTCGATTCTGACTCGCGGTAAATATAGAATTTTGAAAAGACTGCACGGAAAAAAAGGTTTGGTTGAATTAACCAAATATCTGGTCGAATATGAACGATCCAGAAATTCCGATTGAAGTAACCCGAATTCTGTTTAAGTTAACAAAATTCGGGTTACTTCAATTTGGAATTTCTGGATCGTTCATATTCGACCAGATATTTGGTTAATTCAACCAAACCTTTTTTTTCGCGTGACTATTTGGATTTTCGACTTTTCCTTCTTATATCATCAAAGTTATTCGAGTCAGCAAACAACGTGTTCACGCTATTTGCAGCTTCAGCACCGATCTTGGTACGCTGGCGAAAATCCCGATTTTGCCGGCATTGAGGGCCCATGCCGAAGGCTTTTTGAATCCGGACGACCAGCCCAGTGAATCCTCTGAGCCCACGTTATCTGAAGGCACGGAAGAGGTACTGAGCCTGCTCCGTTGGATCTCGGCAAAGGACAATCAGAGCAGTCTGGAACAAGTGGCAGATCAATGCTCGCGTGGCTTGGAGCAGTTTGACGAGCGGGTGATGCAGAGCCTCAAGACGGAGGTGAACGCGGCCATTGACAACGCTAATAAGCAGGATATGAAGGAAATCAAGGGCCTCGGCGAGAGGCTGTTCGCGCTGGAACAATTGATGGTGCAGACTAAGAGGCTCGTCCTCGAACAAGGCGAACTGGCACAGGGTTTCGTGCAGAATCAGAATCGCGCAAGTAATCTTGGCGATGCCAGTGTCTTGCCCGATCTCTGTCATTCTCATAGACGACAGTTGCTTGTCATGCTGCAGAATCATAACCAGGTACGCGACATCCGCCGCAGATGCACCAAAGCGAAGGAGGAGCTTTCGGTGAACATTTATCATCGGCTCAAATGGATCATGTACGTCGAAAACAAGATGATGGAAGTGGACAGCAAGCTGGTGATGTATAACGAGAGCCTGAAGCGTCTCAGAAGACACCTGGAAGTGCTCCAACAGATTCACCTGGCCCCGCAGATGTACATGAGCGCGGTGGCTGAGGTGGTTCGACGGCGCACTTTCTCGCAGGCTTTCCTCGTTTGGGCCAGCAATCTGGCGTGCCAACTGTTGACGGTTCACAGCGAGGAACTGTCGCGTAGACGTGAGTTCCAGAACAAATTTGATGGACACTTCCTGAATACGCTTTTCCCGGGTCTGGAGGACACGCCGCCGCCCTTTGCAACGCAAGCACCTTCTGTTTTCGACAACGGATTACCGAAGGTACAATTGATCTTTATAAGGATAGTACATGTATAGCAAGTCGACACAATGTGTCAATGCGTATAGTACATGTATAGTAGGTCGACTTAGACACAATAAACTTCAGAGCGTAGTTAATAATCCAATAAGGGTCGATTGTCCCAACTTCTTGGTAAACAGCAGAAGCAATTGGAGGTTGGTGCCTCTCGAAACGTGTCCCCCGCTTCCTCGACTTCGCCTCCCCGCTAAATTCGAAAGTCGCGGACCTGACGACACGTCCATGTCGAACAAACCCAGCTCCTTCCAATTCTCCTTCGTTTTTCAAATTGGACAAAGACAGACACATGATTTAACTGTCAGGTAACTTACCAAGAGGTTGAAACAATTGACCCTAAGTGAACAAATTCACAAATAAGTTCTCTCATTGGACCATTGGCTACGTTCTGAAGTTTATTGTGTCTAAACCGTTTTACGACTCACTGTACACTTAGTTACTAAACGATGACCAGACATTTTCCGGAATGAAGTTGCAGCGCACTTGGTTGTCATAAATTAAGAGACACTGCTGACACCTCCGTATTGTAATCAGCTATGACAAGAGTCAAAGTGACAATATAGGATATGAAAATAAATTTGATTAATATAACATTCAAATATTGTCAAATATTATCTTCCCGTAGTTTAAACTTTGCGGACTTTGAAGGTTTAAATAAATCTCTTTATTAACAGCGCGAACGTGTCAGTAATGTTTCTCAATTGTGACAACCAGAAGCGTTGCAACTTCATTCGGAAAAATGTTTGGCCACCGTTTAGTAACCGCGAGTGTACATTTCAATACCGCGTTCTCGAGACAAGAACGTTATGAAATTATTCTCTAACTGTCCGAACAGCTGACTGCGGACGACATGGAATCGTTGAGGTCGCAGCTGCCAGACTTGGCGCATTCGATCTCTACGCCGGACCTGAACAGCATCACGCAGTTTTTCCTGTCAAAGAGTCTCATCGAAGGCAGCACAGACGGTAACAAAGACAAAGACGCTACGTCCGTTAGCACTGATATCCCCGCGAAGGAACAGGAGCGAACTAGAGCACCGTTGCTATCAGACAGGTAAGTAGGTTGCGTCCTTACATAGCTACATTCTCGTGTACGATATGACGCAACGTTGGTTACATAAATCGCTGACGGCATCGCGGCTATTTCTTCTAGGGGCGGCTTCGAATCCGAAACGGACACGGAGGAGTTCGAGAAAATTGGTCAGGCTGGTATGGCGGACGCGACGAAACCCGGTGTGTTCGATGGGACGAAGCAGAAGCGTCAGAAGCAATTGGAGGTTGGTGCCTCTCGAAGCGTGTCCCCCGCTTCCTCGACCTCGACTAACGTCTCCCCGCTAAACTCGAAAGTCGCGGACTTAACGACACGTTCGTCCACGTCGAGCGAACCCGGCTCCTTCCAATTCCCCAGCCTGTCCGTCGCGAGCGAGCGTCCGGCGCAGCTGAGCCCGCTGACCGAGTGCGTGGAGAACGGCGTCGCCGACACTGCCGGTTGCTTGCTTCACCATGATGCGAGCAGTGGCCTCTTGAAATATCGCGACGGCCTGCCGCTCGAGGAGACGAATTCCCTCAGCCCGAATCCTCCCTCCCTGCCACGGTCCTCTGTGATGTGCGACGGCCAGCAGCTGCAGCATCAGCATCCGCTGTCCGGCAGCGGCGGTAGCAGTCCCTCGGTCGGCGTGGGCGCTACCGACTTCATGGGTACCGAGTTTTACATGGACGAATCCCTGCCGAGCAGCCTCAGCGAGCATCCCGCCGACGGCCAGCATCAGGCTATCGTGTCCCTCCTTCAGGTACTTGGACGATTTACAGCTCGCTAACAAGTCCTCTCGTAGTCGTAGCCGTAAACGTGTCCACTACCGACCGTATATCCTTTGCCACTGTCTATTCTCAGATCATTGTATATACTAAACTATATTTGTATATACTAACATAACTCTCTCCTCTTCTCTCTCTCTCTCTCTCTCTCTCTCTCTCTCTCTCTC